AGTGACACTTCTGCTACCGCGTTTGGGTGAAATGTCCCCAAATTCGGGGCCAGGCTGGGTGGGCGCCGTCCCCTCCCGCAATCCCCGCAGGGCAGGGCCGGCAGCTCGGGCGCTCTCCCGGCGGGGAGAGGATCCTTCAGGGCACCAAGCGTGATATCAATTTGTATTTTTATCTATTTATTTGTGTCCATAAAACCGGCCAGCCGCGACGGTCGGGTCGCACATCCGGTGTGACTTCTCTCACCTCCGGGAGGTGCCACATCCCCGGAGTTTGGAGGGGTTTCTTTGGGATTTTTGTGGTGGTCACTGGGGAAAGGCGGCTGACAGGGATGTCCTTGTGCTGTTCTGTGCAGAGGAGCCGAGGCTGGCCCTGCTGGACCTTCGGCTGTTTGAACMTTCCTGGGCTCCGATGCCTCAGCAGATCCCGATGTCGGAGCGGCCCCGGACCTGCAGAACGGTGAGAATTCCCCGCRCTCCGGTGGGATTGGGGTTTGTGCACTGGGTCACTCAAAATCCACATCGTTTAGACTTCGTGGCCGCCCCTGCTTGGTGGCATTGCCCCTCTCCTTGTCCCCACTGTCGCTTTGCAGCAGGAGTGCTCAGCACCGCCCGAGTCGGACATTGATCAGGCTGGTGTMACCACCCCAAAACGAGCCACGAGTGACCCAAATGGGGCTGTGGTGTGAGGCTATGGGGTGCTGAGCTCGGGTGGTGCATCAGGGTTGGTGGCAGGCAGCAGTGGGACCCAAGCCCTGGTGACAGTGGGGACCCCAACCTTGGTAACAGGGGGATCCCAACCCTGGTGACAGCAGGGACCCCAAACTTGGGCACAGCAGAGACCCCAAACTTGGTCACAGTGGGGACCCCAGCCCTGGTGACAGCAGGGACCCCAACCGTGGCCCCAATGGCGACCCCAGCCTTGGCCCTGACAGGATCCAAGCACAGCATCAATTTGAGCAGCAGTTTTTTGGGGTTTGGGTGGATTTCATGGGATTTTGGGGTTCACCAGCTGRGAGAGGGGCTCTGGAAGCTGTGCCCTTGCTCTGCTGTCCAGGCAGCAAAGCCACACGACCCCACCGTTCCCTTTCCCTCCCACTCCATGGATATTTCAGACTTTTGGGATCCTCTTGGGGCGGCACACGGGAAAGGCGCTGCTCTCCCGCTCGCCAGCCCCAGCTGATGGCCCCAAGCCGCCGATCTGGGGACTGACGCCAGCGCGTCTCACTCCAAATGTCACCGCTGCCGCAGCCTCCAGCCCGGGGCCATTGCGGGGGTGGCACAGCTGGATCCCCGCRGGCTCTGCCGGGCCCCTCTGCCATCCGAGCAGCGAGGCCGGGAGGGATCTGTGCTCCAGCAGGGCTGGGATGAGTTCCCCTGTCCCCCTCCCCTCCCAGGGGTCATTCCAGGGGTTTGTCCCCGCTCCCGCCTGGCGACAGCGGTGKGTTGGGATGTCAGGAGCCGTTTCACCCCATTCTGCTCTCGCTGCTGCTGTGATCGTGATTGTAATAAAATCTCTGACACAGCAGCAGCAGCAGAAGCCGCAGACAGGTCTGAAAAAAACGTGCTGAGCCGGGAAGGGGAGGGAAGGCTGTCCCTCTGTCCCTCTGTCCCTCTGTCCCTCTGTCCCTCTGTCCCTCTGTCCCTCTGTCCCTCCGTCCCTCTGTCCCTCTGTCCCTCTGTCCCTCTGTCCCTCTGTCCCTCTGTCCCTCTGTCCCTCTGTCCCTCTGTCCCTCTGTCCCTCTGTCCCTCCGTCCCTCTGTCCCTCTGTCCCTCTGTCCCTCTGTCCCTCTGTCCCTCTGTCCCTCTGTCCCTCCACACCACAATCCCCACTCGGAGCAGGTTTTCCAGCAGATCGGTTTCTCCCGGGCCGGTTCCCCGCGGGTTTCTCCCGGCCCTGCCGGGTCCGGGCWGTTCTCCAGCCGCAGCTGCCGGGCCCTGCTGGCTCGGAGCGGGCAGCTGTCCATCAGTCTGTCCTGTCAGTCTGTTCCCCTGCCCACACGGCCGCCAGTCCGGTCCAATTAAAGCCTCTGCAATGACGGATCGCCCCGCCCGAGTGCAGATGGGCTGGGAGCAGCCAGGATTCCGGGTTCCCTCTCCAATTCTGGGCTCGTTGGGCACCTCTACCATGGACCTGAGCCCTCGGGGTCGGGGTTTTTCCCTGGAAGAGCCGTGCTTTTGTCCAGGAGCCCCGGAGGGGTGGCCGGGATGTCCCCGAGCGGTGTCACCCCAGCTCCGGAGGAGATTGTGCCAGCCTGGCAGCGAGTGACAGCGATCAGGGCGTGATTGATGTGCCATCCTCGCCGAGGGTGACAGCGCAGAGCACTGAGCTCAATGAAYGAGCCGATCTAACGAGGGCTGGCACGGCTGGCACGGAGGGACAAATGAGGTCGAGCGCTGGGGCAAAGCCCGTGGGAGGCAGCTGGCACTGAAATCATTGTAAATCACTGTAAATCACCACGAAATCACCATGAAATCACTATCCAGCGGCCGGGCAGGGCTCTGCTGGGCACTGCTGGGCACCACTAGGCGTGGGATGGGCACCTTTGGGCTTAGCAAAGCCCAGAGTCCCGTGGCTGCTCCTGGCCTGCGCTGGGAGGGGACAAAGAGGGGGTTACAGACCCAGCTCGGTGCTGGGGCCTCTCCCAGGGACAAGGACACCGTGGGGACTGTGGCTGGCACCTGTCCCTGGTGCCAGGCTGGGATGGGAGAGCCCTGGGAAGCGCCAGGGATGAGGGCAGCCAGCCTGCATTCACCTCCCAGCCCCTCCTCACCCTGCCCCAGTGTTAACGGGATTCTGCAGATTCAAAGCTCTCGCTGTGCAGCAGAAACTCACTGGGAACACTCAAAAAAAAATAGAATTCTTGTCCATCCAGAGGCCACAGACACTGCATGAAGCCAGGCTCAGCTCCAGGGCTCCTGGTGGCCTCAGTGGAGCAGCTCAGGGGCAGAGAGGGGGTTGGGGGCTGGCTGCTGAATCAAGCCCGGCCCTTGCTGCCGTGTGTCCAGCAGGAACTGAGGCCATTGAGATCCAGGTCAGGTCCACTTTGTTCCTGTGTTCAGTGGGTCCTGAGGCCACTGAGATCCAGGTCATTCTGAGGCCACTGAGATCCAGCTCAGGTCCACCTTTCTCTTGAGTGTCCAGCAGGTCCTGAGGCCATTGAGATACACTTTGCTCCTTTGTGGTCCAGCACATTCTGAGGCCATTGAGATCCACTTTCCTGCCGTGTGTCCAGCAGGTCCTGAGCATTTTGAGGTCCAGGTCAGGTCACTTTGCTCCCATGTGTCCAGCAGATCCTGAGGCCATTGAGGTCCACTTTACTACCGTGTGTCCAGCAGGTTCTGAGGGTTTTGAGGTCCAGGTCAGGTGCATTTTGCTGCCGTGTGTCCAGCAGGAACTGAGGCCACTGAGATCCACATTGCTCCTTTGTGGTCCAGCACATTCTGAGGCCGTTGAGATCCACTTTGCTTTCCTTTACCAGGTCCAGCAGTTCCTGAGGGTTTTGAGGTCCAGGTCAGGTCCACTTTGCTCCCGTGTGTCCAGCAGTTCCTGAGGCCACTGAGATCCAGTCAGGTCCACCCTCAGCCACATTCCCCAGCTGCCATCGAGGCTCAGTTCTTCCTGGCAGCTCCACCAACCCATTTTGGGTGGAAACATCAGCCCAGCAYCCCTGCCCTGCCCCCTCCCCTCCTTTCAGGAGAACTCTCCACTTCAGCAGGGAAATCAAGCTGCTCCCAGAATATTAAACACCYCCCCAAAGCCCCCGGTGCCGATGAGCCGCTCCCTCTCCTCACTGCCCAGCACAGGCAGCGACCTTTTGGAAAATTTACACGTCTCTAAATGTCTCCCCTCCCGGGAGCATCTCGTGGAGATAGAGATTCAGAGTCTGTCAAGAAGAGGAGCAGATTGCGGCCGATGTGTGCGGCGCCGCGTGCTCGGCGATCATAAGGTTGGCACTAAAAATAAGCGGCGCCTTCTCCCCGGGTCGGTGAGACGGGGAATCCTTGGAGAGGGACGGGGGTGTCCACGGGGGAGAGGAGAGGAGGAGTGGGGACAGCATCCTGGGCTGCGGGGAGCCGGAGGGGAGGAGGGGAGGAATTCAGGGAGGAAGGAAGGAATTTTGGAA